ATCTTATCCACATTAAGTTCATCTCCTAAATCAGCTAGTTCAAGAAGAGGTCTAGATTTATCAAGCATCAAAAAGTCATATTCAAGATCAAATGAAGCACGAAGATAGTTCTTATCAAAACAAACTTCAAGATGATCTCTAACAAGCTTTTCTGTTCTCAACTCATCTAGTTTCCTAGTTATACATATCATATCAAGACATTCATCGATGAGCACATGAGAATTCAAATCAGAGGTAATAACTTCAACACAAGGCAAGCACATGTCCTCATAGTCACAAAGTTCAAAGGTAGAATCACATATACCTTCTATATGGGTTGGTGGAACCCAATATATTACCTCCTTGAGATCATGAGCAACCCTTATCTCAAAATATGTGAGCTCTCTTCCTTATAATGTTGCCCTATGTTGCATAAGGTTTAACCTTAGCATCACTGCCATGTCACTCCTTGTCAACATTGGATTTTCTTTGCAAAGCTCATCCACCTTCAAACTTTGTTCTGGTGCGAGTACACTTTCATCAAAGGGTGGCTCCACATATGGCTCATCTTCAAATGTGTCTTCCTCTTCTTGTGGCTTCTCAAAGTATCTTGAAGCCATTTCTACAAAACAGAAAATCTAGAATAGAAAGTTAGCTATACAAAGGAAAAACAAAGCAAGAAAATAAAGCTTAGTCTCAAGAAAGATTGAAATCCTAATGAAAGATCTATCTAGTTCTCCGGCAACGGCGCCAAATTTGATAAGGGTTTTTAAGTCCTCAGAGCAAATCAATGTAGTATTTAAGATTGTCGAACCACAGGGAACTAGTGATCTAAACACTAAGAATACACAAACTTTCCTAATCTAAGAAAATAAGAGAGATGGATGATTTGTAACAAGCTATGATCCTAAAATTATTAACAAAGGTGATCTCAAATCCAATCAAGAAATAAATGCAAGAACACTTTCAATCAAATGATAAGGTAGAATCCATGAGATTAAAGCAATTGATCTAAAGCAATTAAAGTTTCAATCAAAATGTACCTTAAGTCTAAACAACTTAACTAAGCAAATTCTAGGTATAGACAAATGCTCATTTGCTTTCATTAATTAAACACAAATGGTCATTGGTTCAATTAATTCAAGCAATCATTAAGAATAGATTTAATAACTATCTAAGACTCCCTAGATACAAATGGTCATTGGCTTGGTAGTCTTAAAGCTAAGGAGAGTTGGTTCAGACATTTAAACATACACCTTGTGGGCAGAAAATGACTAAGGTTCAATCCTAGAGTGATCAAGTCTAGAATAGCATCAACCACACTCGACTAGCAAGGAAACACTTACATCTACACTTAATCACCCTAGATCTACCTAACCCATGAATTCTAAAAGTGTATACTCTTTAATCTCCATGAGAAACCTTAAATCCATGATGGATTCAAGACTAATCATGTTAATGAGAATGAGAAACAAGATATAAGATGAAGTACTTCCTTAAAATGATATAAAGATTCAAGCTTTTACAATTAGAAACAAATTTTTGAGAGAAAATGAGATACTTTAGGGTTTTTGGGGTCTAAAACTATATATAGGAAGTCTAAATTCGTCCTAGTTCAATTGAATTAAACCGGGTCAAACCGGAATTAACCGGTCAATATCTTGACTTTGTAAAAGATCTGAACTGCCGCGGCCAAGCTCTCCCTCGCGTCGTGTACCTTCGATCTTCACGTTCTCACCGCGGCTTACGCATCCCGCGACCAAAGCTTGCGAAATCTCTTGGGTTGTTTAGGCATACATTGCCGCGACCATCACTCGTCCGCGAAGGGTCCCTGTGGCTAAGAGAATGGATTCGTCGTAGCTTGGCCGCGACCGGCTTCATTCTGCGGTGGTTAGCCGCGGTCTTCATCTTTGTCTTGGATAAGTTCCATCAGAAACTCTTCAATCTTACCATCCCGGAGATTCACCCGACCATCGATTCATCTCCAAAACCGAGCTCGTGCTCCACCATCGTCTTCCTCTGTTCCGTCGTCACCGGAATCCTTCGCCATGGTCTGCAACTCGCGGTGGTCTTCGTTTCAAGCTTCGTCATCACCGGGTCAAGACCTCTCTATGGCCGCGTCGTGCTCTCAGATCCAAACCGTGGTCACTGGTGCTCGAGTCCCGCCGTCGTCAAGCTCTGGATCGGAAAGCTCAAAGCTCGTGAGCTCCAATGGTGGGCTTTTGGGTATTTGCAAAACAGGTCCCCGGAGTCTTCATTATTCACACATTCGCCCCACTTTTATTTTCAGAATAGTCTCTGAACTTCTGTTTATTTACGTTTGTAGTCCCAAACTTTGGAAATTGCAGACACACCCTCACGAATCAACCTCTAAACTTCCAAAATTGCACTTTAAACCCTGTTATATGAAATTATGCAATGCAAATGTAATATATGCTCCTAATATGCAATCTAAACACCTAAATGAAACTTAAAACACTAATATGATTAAAAAAAAAATTAAAAACCATTAAAAAACACTGTATATCAAGCGTCCAAAGTCACAGTATACAATGACCATTCTCAAGTTCTCAAGTTTGAAGAGTTTGAAGAGAGATATATCCTTCCATGGATAGTACTCGTGTACACCTTCGAAAACACTTCTGACGCCTTATCAAACTTTTTTAAGTTTGTGTATCTATCTTTATGTTGCTTTGTTTGGTTTGCTCTTCAAATTTCTGAACAGATGGCACATCATAGGTTTGATGTTGCATTTGAATTTGTAATCGTTTAAGATTATCAATGAAATCATGTTGTGAACAAAAAAAAGAAGAATTAATGAGATAATTAGAGATAAAGGAATCCTCCGTTTAGATAGAGTATATATTAAGCGTAATGCAAGAGTTGTTATGAACGGAGTAAAAATTGATCCATTATGCAGTCTTGTTACATGTCAATGCTCTTCTCAGTATTCTTTAATTCCTATAAACTTGCCCTTTTTTTATGTTCTGGGAATCCCAGAAACGGAAGCGACGAGCAACCACAAACTGAGCAATTCGACTAAGATAGAGAGAATCGACACTTGAGAGGCATGTTACGGCTTTAGGCATCAATTGATACATGTGATGATAAAACAGTAGCATTATGTTGTAGAAGCAATATGATGCACAAATAGTATGCTCTCACTAATTTTTTTAATAAAGTGATAGGTAGAGAGAGCAGTAGCACTATACAATTTAATAATTTTCGTAAAAATTATTATATACTATATTCTTTAAAAAATAATAGATATTTATATTTATATATTTATAATATATATTAATAAGATATTTTTAGTAAAAATAATAAATATTACTCAGTTACAGAAATTATTCATATTTTAAACGTGAAATATTAATATTTTAATAATATAAATTTATTTTTGGATATAAACATAATTTTAATATTATTAGATAAAATAAATTAAGTATATAAAATTTGTATATTAGTTATTATTATTTTTGATTATTGGTAGAGTAGTAAATGATAAATGTATTTATTTTGAAGTAATATAAATATGTTTATAACTATAATATATATTATATTAAATTTATGTTTGTTATTAAAAATAATGAATGATATGTGTAATAAAATAAATTATATTATATTTTTAATGTGAATTACTATTTTTAAATTAAAAATATTTAATTAAAAATTGTTTTGGCAAAAAAATTATGTATAATTTTTTTATTTTTTATATTGTCTATCTACAAATGCTATTCCAAAATCTTCATATGAGAGCAGTGAGCAAATAACATTTAGAGAGCATTTGTATCTTATAAATACTTTTCTAAATGCTTTTCTCATAAATGTTGATTGGATAATAAAGAGCATAATGCTTATGCTAACTTTCTACCAATTAAGCACTTAGCAACTTGAGCTGAAGATGAAGTCATTTTCGAGAAGATGTAATAAAATTCGAATGGAGTAAGAATCAATGAAAGAATCAATGATGAAGAATTCTTCCATTTAGATAGAGTATATATTAAGCAGAATGCAAGAGGTGTTACGAACGTGATCCATTCATTAACATAGTAAAAATGGGAAATGTAGAGGTAGAGTAATAGAAACCGATTCATGAAAACACAAACAGTCACTTTATGTTTAGATTAGTTTGAAGTAATAGCGGACCCAAATTTGATTTTAAGGGGTGTCACATTGGGCTTGAGCCCAACACAAGTCTTATAAAAACTAAAATTAAACATAGAAAATGCATGAGGATAGAATTTATCTTGAGAAAGGTGTGTCAATTGCTAAGTGATCAGACCAAATGAGCTACATACGTTCTCCTCAAATACAATATAAACACATATATATAAACTAAACATGTGGCAAATGACACATCTTTCCATAACGTAGGTCTGCCTTTAGTTTGAAGCCACATTCGGAATGACGCTAAGTGTTTATTAGGTGGAAGATGAAGACTTAGCGACCTAAACAAGACTTTATTTAAAATATTTTATTTTATTTATAAAATAACTTAGGTGTTATAGTTTACTGTTCGTAAAATATGTCAAGTATCAATAGTAGTATCAAACATGTATTAAAAGGGCCATATGAGACATGGAAAAGGGTGCCACGTGTGCAAAAATATTCATCCAATCCCCTTATAACGTTTTGTTCATGTCAGATCTCCAGAAATCTAATTTCGGTTGGGCTTAACTTTTCAAAGCCTGTCTCTTATTCCACCATCTCTGGCCCAAACCAAAACCACCCAATTCAAAGTGACGCCGTTTAATAAACTACAAAGCAGTTTGCCCTAATCCCTTCTCTGCGAAACCCTTTTTCTTATTCATCCGTTCCTGGGTTTTGCCTCAACCTTTCAACTCCCCTTTTCCAGTTTTTGTTATTCTGTCTCATCAATTAACCCTCCTCTCCTTCACTCCCTTTCATCTCTTTAATGAGATCATTTCGAATTCTCAAACTGAGATTCTATATAAGTCGCGTGATCTATTGGACTTCCTCACTCAAAATCTCATTTCTATTATCGAAAGTCTATTGCTATGGCCTCAACCAGTGATCAGAATCCGTTGAAATCAACAAGCAACTCCACCAAATCCTCCGCGAATCTGACCAAACCCGGTCCTAAAACCGCTGTGTCTTCTGGCCTCTCCATCGGTGTTAAGGGGAAAGCTATTGCCTCCTCCGGCAGCAGAGGGAAATCCGTTGTGTCTGAAAACGTTGACCAAGTGATGTCCTTCAGAAACGTTAGATTCGGACCCCAGGAAAGCGAGGTACGGTTTCGATTGATCCACTATTGGGAGGCTCAGAAAGTTCTGTCCAAGGTGCTGCTGGGTCTCGAAATGCTCCTCATCGACTCAGAGGTATAAAACTAGATTGTTGCTAAAGTTTGTTCTTTTAAGATAATATTTTTAATATCTCAAATTCCATGGTCATCAGCTTCTCATTTTATATGAGTTAGTTCATCGCTTTTGCTTGAGGAAGATTTTTTAATATATTTTAGATCTTTCATCAGCAGCTGTTTACTGTGCTAGATCTTTGAAACGTATCTATTGTTCGCTTTACATGATCTTAGCCATTTTTGTTAGCACCATAAAAACAGTTTTGTAAATCTTAGTTGCTGGTTAATATCTTATTTATTTATGTTTCTAGGCTAATCATTTTTTCAAGCTTACTAAATAATACTCTTCAACGTTTTAATAGGGAACTGTTATCCAGGGGTTCATCCTAGAAGGACGGATTCAAGTTTATTTGCCACGCTTTAAAACTGGAGCTATTTACAAACTGATTAATTTTTTTGGGTCGAAGAACAAGGGTTTGTACCGGGTTGCTGAACCAGATGTGACTATTACCTTCTCATGGAACTCCGTTCTCTCTGCTCTAGAGGACAGCTCGGTTCCTTTCCCTGAGGACCAGTTCCAGTTCCATGGGTACAAAGAATTTGAGGCTGCCTGCGGCTTGAAAGGATATTTATATGGTAAGTTCTCACAAACGTTGTACCCTCCCATTGTTTGTGTAGGAAGATGGTTTAATGTAAACTGTGTATTATGTTTTTATTCGATTTATTATAGGATGAAATGTTGTGTATGATCATGTCTGGATCCAGAGTAATATATTTAGGTTTCATGGTTTGGTTTATAAGTTATAAAGTACTGAGTTTGATTGTTTTGTCTTGCAGATTATGTAGGCCACATCAAGCTTATTAATGGACAGGTTCTCAATGACAATGTCCTCCTTGATGAAGCAGAGATAGCTTCCACCCGTCGTGTTCTGCTTCATGTACAGACACATGAGTAAGTTATTCTCTAGCTTCTTCTGTATTCTTATATGATTTCTGTTAAGAGTTGTTTTTTTGGTTGTCACAGCGGTCCGGTGATGAAGCTGTACTTATGGGACAAGGCTGCCTTTGACTTCAGTGCAAAGTTCAAAGCATCTGGAAGCACTGCAAGTGTTATTTTGGTCACTGCCTTAAACCCAAAACGGTTTGGAGGTTCGTATTAGGAAATTTAGTATACTTCCTACATATTCTCTTGATTCCAGTTTAATTTAATTTTGCTAAATATTATGACGTTGTTTCCGTAATAGGTACCTTATCACTATGTACTATGACGCCTTCTCGGGTCTTCATGGACAGTGACGTTGAAGAAACCCGTTACTATCTCAGTTGGTAAGGCTTAAAATTCCATGTATTTAATATAATTTAATGTAATATATTGTTCAAATGTTTCGTTTCCCATATTTTCAGGTTTAACTCAAACTTAGATGTTGCCAACAAAGTTAATGCAGAGGTGGTAACTAAGGCTGAGACGATTACCCTAGAGGAACTTGTGTCCTCAACGAAACAAGGCGATGCTAAGGTATTGATGATGTTGTGTTCGATAAAATCAGTCATTTAGTCTAAGTTTCTCAGTGAATTTCAACTATTTTCCAGGTTGCTTGGTTTGAGTGCACAGCAACTATTGATGATGTTGTGCACGGATCTGGATGGTATTATATAGGCTGTGGTGTTTGCCATACAAAGGGAATCAAAGGGCCTATAACTCTAATGTGTACAAAATGTGGGGAGAGTGAAATTATTGGAGTGGCACAGTGAGTGATTTAATTAAATTATATGCAAAGTTTGACAGCAATGCTTATTAATTTGTTGGGCTTGGTCTCGCAGGTACCTGTCGAAAATCTCTGTGTATGACAAGAAAGACCAAGCTTTCTTTTTTCTCCTCGGTGATGCTGGTCAGGAGTTGACTGGAAAGAAAGCGTCTGAGCTGGTTGCGAGCTATTACAAGGTAATTTGTAAGCTCTTTATCTATGCAATTCTTACAAGATAGTTGGAAATGAATTCTGGGAACTGTTAAATGTCTCTTAGGCCAATGAAAGTGTAGGCGCATATCACATTGTTCCGGTGCCTCAAGCTCTGATTGATACCGTTGGGCAGACAAGGAAGTTCATTGTGAAGGTATCCAAACACAATTTCACCGTTAAGATCCAAACTTTCACTGTGACAAAGGTTGATATGATCCTGACCAGCAAAGGAACTGAGGAGATAGAACAGCTTGAACCAAAGCTTAAAGATGAGAAAGATGGAACTGAAGACTAGCTTGAACCTGAGGAAACAAAGGACAAGGACCTAGACGTGTCAC